GATTCATCGCTGATCTGAACCACCGCCTATCTGAACCACATCCGACCACCGTTACCTGAACCACCACGGACTACCACCGATCTGAACCACTGCCGACTACCAGTGACTATCATCGATCTGAATCACCACCGGACACCAGCGATCACCACCGATTTGAACAACCACCGGCGCCACCGCCGATCTAAACCACCGTCCATTTGAACCACTGTTGAGCACCTCCATCTGAACCACTGTTGAGCACCTTCATCTAAACCACCATCGACCTGAACCACTGCGGATCACCTCCATCTGAGCCACTGTGGACCACCATCGATCTGAACCACCGTCGAGCACCGTCGATTTAGTAACGTCATTTGGCTTATGGTTATATTTAGGTTGTATATTTTATATTGTTTTACATATTGAATAATTATTTTATTAAAGCATTTTTAGTTTCAAAAAAATTAAAATTTTCAAAGAAGGGCATTTTGGTCATTTACCAAATTTCATTCTAATTTCAAAGCTACATTATGTGAACAAAACAGACAAATTCCAATTCTTTAACAAATTTCAATTCCAACATCTATCAACTAAACATGTTGTCAAATCTGACAACATTTTATTCTAATTCATTCAAAGTAAAATTTCTTTAACAGATTCTATTCCGTCCAAAAACATTCTGCAAACCAAACGACACCTAAAAAAAAATTTGTTTTAATAAATTACAGCCAAAAGAATATTGACGGGTTCAAATTGAGAAAAAACAACGGTTGTAGATGTGAAAGTAGTTAACTAAATGGCGCATGCATTAATTATTAAGCAATTAAGAAATAAATAATTAACCAACGGAAGACAGAGATAATGATGTGGTGCTTAATTAGTTAAGTTTGACAAAATTAAAGTCTAATAAGTTGACCATTCAAAAACACGTGCATTGTGTTCACCGCATTTTTTCTCCCCTGAGCCCGAAATGTTTGGCCAATACCCAACTTCCATTTTTATTTTTTATTTTAATACCATAATTATAAAATAAAATAAAAACGCTTCATCTCGTAATTCATTAGAAAAAGTGTATTAAGACCATAAGATTATTGAATATTTAAATAATACAATTAATGATAAAATCTTTAAAACAAGGAATCTGTTGAGTTTAATGTAATTTATTTTAAAGATTTTGACTTTTGATTCTCTATTTTATAAATAATATAAAAAATCTGTTGAAAATGTTCTAATTTAACACAAGCAATTTATTATTGTTTAAATATTTGAAATATTTTCTAATTATAATAAAATAGAAAATATAAAGAGTTTTTTAATATATAATATTTAGAGTAAATTACATTTTTGGTCTTTGTGGTTGTTACCCATTATTAATTCTCATCCCTTTTTTGAACTATTTACAATTCTAGTTATCTTTTTTGAACTATTTACAATTCTAGTTATTGTGGTTATTATTTTGTTTCACTTCTAGTTCCTCAGACTAACTTATGTTAAATGGGTCCGTTAACTCAGAAGGTATTTTCATCTTTATAATATTTAAGTAATTTATAATCTAAACCCATCGACCAAGAATCCAGGGACGAAATCTGCTTATGCTTTCAAATGATGAACCACATGGACAAAGATCCTTTTATTTCAGATGAACCACTCAACCACAACATCTACTTCTGCTTCTACTATTTTAAGGGAAGCACATGAATGGAGATCGAACCACAAAAACGAAAATCCTTCAATTTTGATGGGAAGAAAAAGAACAACAATCGGTGGCCAGATCTGCTTATGCTTCCACTTCGATTTTAAATGACGAAAATTCTTGAGAGGTTCGATTTCTCCCCCATTGTCTCAGACGGTTTCGATTTATGATGGTTGACGACCAGATTTGATTCTTCTTTGAGAAGCACCTCCATCGTCTTCCTTGCTTCCAGCACTACCCGTTCCCTTTTTCATGGCCAGATATGAGTCGATGGAGATGGAGTGGCATTGCAGATCCGTGGTTCGCCCCTGTGTCTGCATCTCCGACATCTAGTTATCGGACCCCAAAGACCCATTTTTTGGATATGCATAACATCATCTTTTTTTTTTATTAACCTAGATATCCAACCCGCTATGCGAGCCAACTAATCTCAGGACGCCACCTGCTTTGCAGATAGTCCGGAATCACCGCAATTGAACCTCCATGGCCATATGGGGATTTTTATTCTTCCTTGGATTTGAACCTGAGATCTCCAGGTATTTTTAACTTTTGTAGTTAAGCTCAAACCAATCAGACACCACCCTTATGGTTATGATTAACGTAACATCATCTTTGAGTTTTGATTTGTGGTTTTTAATTAGACTTTAAGGTTTTTTAATTTATATAATTATAAATCACAAAAGTACTAAAAAAAGACACTTTTGAGTTAACGGATTCATGTAAGAAAAGCGAGTATATGAGGGACTAGTGAAATAAAATAACAATCATAATAATTAAAACTGTAACTAATTCAAAAAATGAACGATAGTTAACAGCGGATAACTACAAAAGCCAAAAATATAATATATACTATATTATAAATTATTTGACAAAAACATTTAAAAATCATTTTTTATGCATAAAGTACTGTTGATTAATGCATATTAAAATTCAAGATTACAAGTAAATTGTGCGTAAATACAACTTATTAAAGCTCTATGTTTGAATTTGTGTAACTAATTGTGGATAAACATAATCAAATAGAGGATAAACATCTCATTTTAAAATATGAAAAATCTAAAATATAATTAAGATAATTATTGAGTTCTAACAAAGTACTTAATTATTATCTTTATAAAAAAATATATTAGTAAACCTAAATTAAGTCACTTCGTTACGTTAAACAAAATTGCAATAAAAATTTTGAATTAAAAAAAATATACAAACATAAAATTTTAAATAGTTAATTTGATATTAATATTGATATATCTTTTGCAACTTTATATGATATTTTCAAATTTATATTTTATTTAAATATAAAAACATTATCGTTTTCTCAAAATCACATAAAATCGTATTATATCGACATGCATAAAAAATAAAATGAAACATTGAAATGAAAACGTGTCTCGATAAATTACACGAATACCCTTCTAGTTAATTTTAACGCTTATTAATAGATAAGTATGTAAATTTTGGATTAAATTATTACCCAATGGGTGCGTAATAACAAAAGTCAAAGTTTCATACGATCGAGGAAGTTTCCTAAGCATTTTATAAGATTAATATTTAATAAAAGAGTAAACTACCATTTTTGTTCATGTGGTTTGATTTTTATTTCTTCTTATTTTGCTATCATTTTAGTTCTTCCATCTAATATCATTAAGAAATTCAAAAACTGTTTTGAGAAATACATATTTAGTCTTTATGATGTACTAGAAAGGTATTCGCACAATGCAACAAGATATATCTCGACTTAATATGCAACACAAATCGAAATTAAGATAATCATGTAAGGATAAGAATTTAATGATTCTCTCAACTATTGATCATGGAAAAACACTACCATTTACATTGACATCTCTGCATGGTGTCCTTTAGTCTATTTCAAGGCTTGAAATATTTCTACATGTTCCTTAAGTTCCCAACTTCCGTTCTGTGGATGACGATTGCAAAGTCTTTTGTGTGTGAATCTAGCAAGCATTTGAAGAGTATTTTATTGGAGATTGTTAATAGTTTCAACCACAAGAAAGCCAAATTATGAAATTTGGCATGTAAGAACAAAGATCTGTCTATACAAGTTTTGTACTGAGATACGCGGAATAAAGATCTCCCTTTCTTTGCCAATTTATGAAATTTGGCATGTGATGTTGGCATGATGTATTATCTTTTGTATTTCAATACTTGTTATGTATACAAGTTTTGTATCGAGATACATGATAAAATTTGGTAGCTACTTTTGTATTATAGCTTTTGTATACATTTGAAACCGAATGTATAAAGTTGTATTTCTTGATATATGAAAATATATGTTTATATGTAAATGTGATTATGAGGTGTTACAGACTAAATATGTAATTTCTCAAATCAGGACTTTTTAACGATGTTAGATGTAAGGACGAAATGTAAATCATAGGGACGAAAAAAAAAACAGTTTTTAAAAACCATAGGTGCGAAAATCGTGTTTTGGAACGGAAATCATAGTTTACTATTAATAAAAGATCAATTATTACTTGTTAAATTGGTTCTTATAAATGCCCGTTAATAGAAATTAAATAAAGATATTAGTTTTTTGATGAAAAATGAGACCAATAATAAAATAGATGAGAATAGGGTCAAATAAATTAATATAATGTTTATAATTAATATTTTATATTTTTTTTTTTGGATTTTAGCATTATAAAAATATAAGAATTTTGAAATAAAAATTTCACAAATTGTTTACGGCTTAAAAAACATGTAAGCAACTTATATGTAATTCAAGGCATGTTTCTTAATAACTTAACGAGTTTAATGAGATTCACACTTTGTTCGATCACCTATACATTGACTGTTTAGTAGTAGCTTAATGAGTTAATGACATAAAAAGTGACTTATTCAGTAAGTTTTTATAGATGACTTTATGCGAAAAGCAAGTTTTTCCAAACTTGTTCTTTCCAATTAAAAAACACGATCATTTCAACTATAAAAGTTATATTCCAAACAAACTTTTTTCAATCTATACAGATATATTTATCCACTTAAACAGCTTTATTCATATAGAACTTTCAGAGAAATAACTTGCAAAGCAACTTTTACCTTCCTATAACTAATAGTCACTTTCGTCCTCTTTCATCGTTCAAAGTATAACCAGGCCGGTCCCAAGTCGGTCTAGAACCAGACCAGGCCCATTTGGCCATCTCTAAATTATTGCCGACAAAAGACAATTTTAGGTTAACCGAATTGACCCAATGAAAATTGTGGATCAAGCCCATGGTTGATGTTCTTGAATCTTGAGCCCTCCTGTTTTTTGGGTTTAAGTTGAACGTCTGTATTTTCTGAAATGAAATTGAAATTACTCTATCCCCTTTTGGCCTTCCAATTTCAAGGAAAAGAAGCTGCAAATGGCTTCGATTGCTGCTTCAATTTCTTCTTGTTTCCATGGAGAAAACTTGTTGTCCTCTTCATGCTCTTCTCTTTTCTCAAGGACTACACTCAACTTCTCCCCATCCATCTCCGGTAATTTCTGCAATAACATATATATAATTGCATCTTTAGTCTTGTAGTGTGTTAATTTTTGGGTTTCTAGCGTTCTTTAATCTGAAACTAATCATACGTTTATGGGTTTTTTTTGATGAATTATACTCTTAACTGTTCCTCGTTTAATGTCCAGTTCTTTGAAAATTGAGAAGGTTAAGGATGCATGTACATGGGTATTGTGTAGTTAGAATGTATTTTGCATCAAATGAAACCTAATTTCATTGTTAGAATCCCATTTTGGGATTTGCGGAGGTTAAGAATATGTAGTCCTGAGTTTCCAACTTGATTATGTTGTGAATTTTACACTATTGGGGAATCATAGAATTAGAATTGAAGTCCATGTAGCAGGGTGACCATGTGATTGAGATATATCATGTTGTTTCCTACTAATTCGATTGAGTTTTTCTTAACTCCAGTTGTTGCAATGAGAGTATATACTAGTTTTTGAAACATGATATTTTGCAAGGTGGACTACAATTATGGAACCAAAGGTGGACTATGATTATTGCCCATGAAAGCTGATATACTTTTCTTTTAAGGATGTCTTATTTGCATTGTTTTCCTTTTATGGAACTTTTCATGTTAACACTACCTACACTATTATCATTAGATGTAAATTCTTGCTATTGATCTTGGTCCACAAGATTTTTGTGTTTGTTAAAGGGTATTTCAGATACCTGGTACATAGTCAAACAATGTGCATTGCAGACCAATCAAATGTTGCAATTTTCATGGGATAACATGAGTACTAAATCTTCTTTGATGCTGTCGTTTATTGAAATGTGTTTCCTTCATTGAACAAATTACTAATTAGTGAATTTTATGTTTCGTTTGTGTTTCTTTGTATGATTTCAAATTCTAGGTAGTAATTTTAGTGGTAGAAAACAGTTCATGGTTTTTGCAAAGAGATTATCAGGCTTGGAGGAGTCTATGAGGATAAGAAGGTATGTTGGATTAATGAATCTTTTATCATTTGGAGTAAAATGTGATTCACAACCTGCCACGTTTTGTTAAAGACTGTTTCTTGATTGATAATTTTTGCATATATAGGGAACGTGAGCAAAAAACTACAACACCAATTAAACGTAGAACACCCTTGAGGCGTCTAAAGGTATCACCACGTCTTCCTGTGCCTGATAACATACCGAAGCCTCCTTATGTAAGCTCAAAATTGTTGCCAGAGATTGCGAGTGAGTTTCAAATGCATGATGAAGAAGGCATCGCTTGCATGAGGGCAGCTTGTGAACTGGCTGCTAGAGTTTTGGAGCATGCAGGAACTTTGGTTAGGGTAAGAACACAATCCGATTTTCATATTTTCGTGCTTTCTGTTTTAGTTTCTCCAAAAGTTGCATGTGAGAACTATGTATCATCCTACAATGGAGACTTGTTTGGCTTACTGATTTTGACTTTCATGAATTTAATTTTGACTGGCAAAAACATTTGATTTACATAGTTTTGGAAGTCAAATGTACTATTTATATCAAATGTTTAGAAGTGCTGTCTATGATTTCTTGCCCCACACTCTTATGTAATTTGAAAAAAAAAAACAGATAATCTAAGATTTGATACAAAATTTGCAAAGGAAATGTTGGCCCTTAGATACAAAATTTGCAAAGGAAATGTTAGCCCTTAGATACAAAATCTGCAAAGGAAATATATGGTGTTAAATTGCATTCAGGTTTAAACATTTCCTTGAGGAAAAAGATATGTTCTTATCTAGGCATCATTTACATTTGTAATGAAAACATGCTTAATTATCCCTTGTTTATGTATAAACAAATACAAGTTAATGGATTTTTGCAATCATATCAGCCATCAGTGACAACAAATGAAATTGACAAAGCTGTGCACCAAATGATTATCGATGCTGGTGCTTATCCTTCACCTCTCGGCTATGGAGGGTTCCCAAAAAGTGTGTGCACATCAGTCAACGAGTGCATGTGCCATGGAATACCTGATTCTCGTCAACTGCAGGTTCTTTGCTATTATTAGTCCTAGTTTGTTCTTAATATCTAGAACTGCATCCTCCTACCGGTATTGTCTTTTTTGCAGGATGGAGATATAATAAACATTGATGTCACGGTCTACTTAAATGTGAGATGCATAATGTCAACTGATATCATTTTCTTTTTTTAGGAAAGGTTATATCTTTTTCTGATGTATCGTTTTTTGTTAGGGTTATCATGGTGATACCTCAAAGACATTTTTATGTGGAAATGTGGATGATGCTACAAAACGACTTGTGAAGGTACACCTTCGTATCCTCTTTCCAAAATTCCAATTTCCCAATTCTTCTCACTCCAGTATGTTTGATGCTTAATAGCACTTGAAAAAAAGTAAACTTTCATGCATTTATATTATTTTCCTATGTTTTCCTCATTCTCCATTTTGCGGATCTGATCTTTGAGTTCTCTTCATACCAAATACGACCCACCGTCACATCGTGGTTTCTTTTTACACGATTTAAGTTGGCCCCACAAGATAAAAATATGAAACGGTCCAAACAAGACCTAAAGACATGGATTCTTGAATTTTATTTGTTCTATTGGAATTTTAGTCTTACACTTATGCGCAAATCAAATCATGAACTACATTGCTTTACCCATGAGATTTCCGTCAATATTTGCTCATTTGGCGGCTATTTTCAGTTGCAAAATTCTGAAACACTTCCTCCATGGGTGACAGGTTACTGAAGAGTGCTTGGAGAGAGGCATTGCTGTTTGCAAAGACGGAGCTCTTTTCAGGAAAATAGGGAAGAGGATCAGGTACTTAACTCTTCTAGCGATTAGAAGGTCTAGTATTCATTTCGTTCCAGATAAAGAGTTCATATTTGATTTTTGAATTTCAATTGTGTACTTCTTTAGCTTCAATTTGATATGAATGGTTGATGTTCTAGGGAAACAATTGATTCGTACATTGAACTATAAAATGAAGTGCTACAAATCATAATTTATGGTCTAAAAGACAAATATGTTTTTATCCAGAAGACAATATGATCCAATCTAACTTTTTTGAGACAGAGGAAGTGTTATGTAGTCTAATTCATTTGGCAACCGGGTTTTCACACAGAATCAAGAATTATAGTATAAAGGGGTTACGGTTTTCATGACATTTATTAAATTCTTCCTATGCAAAATGTTTCTTTCCATGGTATTTAACTAACTCTATCAGTTGGTTGTTTGGAGTAATAACTTGTCGTTTGCACGATCTCTCTTAGTGAACATGCAGAAAAATTTGGCTATGGTGTGGTGGAACGTTTTGTGGGGCATGGTGTTGGGACTGTATTTCATTCGGAGCCACTTATATTTCATCATCGTATGTTTTTGTTTCTTATTATTCCTAGAACTCAAGCATGTCATTACTCGACTGTATATTTGTATTCATATACTTTTTGAAACTCTGGTTTATTTATTATATACAGGCAATGAGAAGCCTGGTAGCATGGTCGAAGGTCAAACATTTACTATCGGTGAGTTCATGAACTTTTTAGTAACTTTGGAATTAAGCGTATTAAATTTCCAAAATGATAGTATGTGCTCATAAATTGTTATAATCTTGTCTAACTAGATCCTTGGAATAAAAATTACTATTAAACCTTCTTTTTAGAACCAACTAAAAGTCCCATAAGACGCTATTATCAGTTTAAGCTTGCATTGCCAAGCTTTTTGAAGAGACTCACTGTAGTCAATCTTGTAGAGGCCAAATATGCATACATCTTACCCCTCTCGGACTCCACCTATGTGTGGGATATACTGGGTTCGTTTTGTTTGGCTTAAAACTGTACTCAATCTTGTGATCAAATTCAATAGGAGAAGCGTTCTTGATGATGAGTATGGGGGCAAATAGGTAATTGACCATAGAAACAGAAGATCTTCTGTTGACTTGTATGGACTGTATATACGTTGTTATTTTGTGCAGAACCAATTCTTACTCTTGGAACGACGGAGTGTATTACATGGGAGGATAATTGGACCACCTTAACAAAAGATGGCAGCCCTGCTGCTCAGTTTGAACACACCATTTTAATCACTAGAACTGGTGCAGAAATCTTGACAAAGTGTTGAAGCAGCTTTTGACATTGGCTACAATGTATTTGGTACCTGATTTTCGGTCTTGGTTGGTGTATAATTTGTTGTTAATTCAACCAACGATGTGAAATCCCTAAACTGCCCTTTCGTGGCGCTGACCTATTATATATAAATACTACATGCTGTTGCGGTCGAGAAGGCATTTGGAGTCTCTACTATACTCGTCTTTTTGATGGAGGTTATGTTGTATAGAAAATTAAACGCACACCAGCGTCGATATCATTCTCTATGTTATATGTTTTGCAAAATTGTTGTACGAAATCGTTGATTAGCTCTTATTTGATCATTTTGTTCGTATGAATTAACAAAATTTGATTTTTAAAGTTTTAAAATTTTAACAACAATAAAAAACAAAAACCAAGCAAGAAGAAAACTAAAATAAATTCCATAATTGGAAATGATGAAACATCAATCAAATTTCACCAACTACAGCTCAAAAATGGTTTCATCAAGTAAACAACTTGAATCCATGTGTTGCCAAAATCTTGTATTTATGGAGGTTCATCTATAATGACTTCAGATCATTTGTGATTGTCCAAGGATTAGTAGGTGCACATAAGCAGTTTTGAAAATCCACTGTTACTAAAAATAAACTAGCCCTCAAGAGCCAATAATGCTGACTTTCATGTATTTACATCCTTTCTTTTGATTTAGACGTGCACTTCATTTACACTTCTATTAACTACAAAAACTAGAGATTGTTGATCCGTGTCTCACTGATTCCACTTGTTGAAATATATAGAAGTGTTTTTCTTATAGAATACAATACAAGACGAAAGATTGTGTGAGAATAAGAGTTAGAGTGAGAAGCGTAAGAGAGAATTTGGATCATTGATTATTTTGCATCCTAAAACATGAATTTCGCTTTAGAAGTGAATTGATGTAGTGTTTCTCTTTTATTATGATTGATCCAAGGGTGGAGATCTCTTCTCAACGTTCTCAGGGTTGTATTGGTTGTACAAAAACTTTTAAAAAATATTTTGTATGCATGAAATACTATTTATTGATGTATATTACTTGAAATTCAATATTATAAATAATTTTGCATAAGTACAATTCATTAAAGCTCCATTTTTGAATTCGTGTAACTAAATAAACATTAAGATAAACATTCATTTTAAATATAGAAAATTTAAATTATAATTAAGATAATCATTGAGTTCTGACAGAATGTTTAATTATTATGTTTATAAAAAATTATATTATTAAACCAAATATAAATTACTTTGTTATTAAATCTAAATTAACGTATAATAAAAAGTTGAATTAAAGAAGTTACACAAAAAAAAAACAATGATTATTAAATAGTTAATTTGATACTAATATCGATTTATTTTTTTCAAATTTATATTTCATTCAAAATAAAAATATTATTCGTTTTCTCAAAACCACATAAAATCATATTATATTGATAGAAATAAAATAAAAAACTACACATTAAAATAGAGATTTATCTCGCTGCATTGCTAGAGTACAGTATTATATAATACCTTATGACTCGTTTGGCTGGTAGCTTTCTATTAGTGTATCCATACCCAGGTTGCTCAAATATTCGTGCAGCATTCCAGCAAAACATGTTGTATCTGGTTGAATTCATACTTGATCTCCAACAGTTGAAATATATTGATGCAGCAGATAAAATCAAACCAAAGATTAAACACGTTGATTTTATCATGAGTACCCCTGGATGATTCCTTTCTTCAACGAATTGAATACGAACCTTAGGGGCCGTTTGGTTCGCGGAATTCGAAGGAATTTGATGGAATTGGAATGATAAATTCCTTTGACCAAATTCCATTCCTTTGTTTGGTTCATATCTTGAAATGGATGGAATCCTTCAAATTCCAATGAATTCCACAAGTTAAGGAATTCATCATTCCTTAGCATAATGGAAGGAATTGAATTCCATCAACACCCACAACGACCATGCTACTACTGTTTGTGATGCCCCACCCCTAACCCCCTACTACCACCACCACACCACTAATGTCACCACCACCCACCCTACCCCACCACTAACCACCATGCCATTACTGTTGTCATCACACCYACCCACCCCCGGTCACTCAYTGCACATCCTTRCTACGACCATGCTAYTACCGTTATTGTCACGCCCCTAACCTAACCCCCACCACCACACCATTATTGTCGCTATCACAGCTGCCACTCACCCTCACCCTACTCCACCCCACCACTAACCACCATGCCACTATTGTCGTTGTTATACCCATCCACTCCCAGCCACCCGACCACCATCCTACCACTGTCATCGTCATAACTGCCACCCATCCCCACTACCCCACCCCTCACC